TTTTGAATACATCAAACTATAATACCATTTGACATTGTGAAATAATAATAATAAAAAATATTATTATTTACAATATTTACATGTTCTTTAATTTTAAAATAAAATTATAATATTATCAAAAAAATTTAAAACTTACAAAAATCTGCTTAAAAGAAAAAAAAAGAAAAAATCGAATTAATTAAATTATAATTAATACTAGTATTCGATTTTGTTTATTGTTTGAATTTTCGAAGTATAGTTTTGCGTGGTATTGACATATTTTCTAAATGAAAACATAGCAACTAATTAGTTTTTATCATCCGAAACCTGTGTTCTTATTTTTTTTTTTATATTGTAGGGTATATACATTGTTACAAGTTACATTGCACTCTTCAATCGAATATAAATTAAAAACATGCAAATAGAAATGAAAACTGACTAATATAAATATGAATCACTTGAACTACCGATGGTACACAATTGAATTTACAGTTGGAATAATTTAATCAAACGTTAGAGTTTTGTTTAATGTTTAAACGAATTATATTATAGTGCAATTTGTGTATTATCAAATGATTAATTATTATTACGTCATTGGCTCGGCCTAATCGTAACTGTTTATAATATAATTCTACGATGAGTGTTGGTTAACGTGAGCATATTACTATGGCTGTTCGATCGTATGATAATATTGATTTAGATGATATTATTATGTTAGATTAAAGAAAACATTCCGCCCCATTTTTTTTTTTTTATGTTGATATTAAACTATATAGATTATGATCTTGAATATAATGTATTTTTATGAAAAATGAGTCAATGTAATACACGCATGTACTCATTTTAAATACACGAAAATTTGTTCTAAAAATATCCATTGCACTTTATACGAATATAAAAATTATATACAATTATTATGATTACACTTTAATAAAAAAATAATTTAGTAATTTTATTTTATATCCAACACATATTTTATTTAATTGCTGATTTTCGTTTGATATAATCTAATAAATCAATATTAATATAATCTAATAAATGTTCCAAAAATCAAAATCAATGTTTATAATTATTTGACCAAAATAAACTTTATAAGTATTATGCTAAAAGTACAAAATTGTTCAATCATTTTTAATTCCTCAAGTATTTGATAGAAAATTAATTATTACTGAACTCGTTGTGGACCAATAAAATGTATTTATAGATAATTTGATTTTTATCTAGGTAGTCAATAATTTAATTGTTTCTTTCATCGGTTCCATAGAGAGCGACGTACGTACGATTTTTTTGTAGTTCGGCATTTTTCCATTTTTCATTCACATACACCTTGACCTTTCGTCATTGTTTTAGATACCCTCAATTGTCAATTTGTCTATTTTCACATGGGATTGATAAGAAATTATAAAATTGATTTTAATGAAAAAAAAAAATGTTTGAAGTATTTATTTATTTTAATAAACTTGCGTCATACAATGAATTTAAAAAAAATAATATCAATTTCACAATTTAATTTTGATGTGATTCTTGGGGTTGTTTGGTGACATCTAATTTTTAAAATCTGGTTGCACAGATGATAAGTAAAGTCATAAGTCGAATCTCAAAAAAAGTCTATAACGATATTTATTTTTAATGAGCATGTATGACGAATAATCCTTTTCCATAAACACAATGATCGATATGAACTATTTCATAAATAATTTATTCATTCAAATACATACATTTTTACATTTTTGACCATTACCCTCTTTTTCCCCGAGTACTCTTTCATATATTTTCACGTACCTACTCCGATTTGAGAAACAATGCTCTAGTTGAAATATATATAAATATATAAGTAATCGATGTAGGTATATAGAATCCTACTGTCTTTATTATATTATTTTCAATGTATTTACTGTTACCTTTTAAAATAATCAACTACATAACCTTAGCTTTTTTTAATAATTAATAATTTTGATTAAAATGAAAAATATGTTTTCTAGAAATAGTATGTATACATATAATTTAAAATATATTATTTTCATTTTTAGATGTTTATTAAAATGTTAGAATTTAAATGTCTTAGTGTATAGCTTATTCGTTCATCTCACGCACGATGAACACGATTTTAATAAATCACAGACGATAATGAAACTGACTGGATATTGATCGAAAAGACGACGCTTGCCAGTGATAACTTTACCTCGGGTGCAATAGTCAAATGATATATCTTGTCATCGTCATATATCTTCCCGGAGAAAAGAAATCCGTTGGAATTTCATTTTGTATAACAAACATTGAGAACATATTTATTTTTATTTATTTTCTCCCCTGCAAAAACGTATTTGTTTTATAATTATAAATACGAATTATAATAAAATTATAGTGTTTGGTGGTCTGAATTGTCTATTTGATAAAAATATACTGTTTGCTAGTTGTTAGAACAATTTCCAAAATGGATAAAGATAGAAATAAGAACTCTAGCATATATACTCGTATGTATGTATATATATATATATATATATATATATATATATATATAGAAATTCATATAAACAACTTTTAAAACTAGAATCCATGAAAACCATTCGAATTTTTTTTTAAATTAATTGGAAAATAATAATTTTTCAAAATACGAGGTAAATATTTGCAAAATTCTGATTTGCATTAAAAATATTATTTATTGAAGAATATAGAATAGATAAATGAGAGTCTGATTTTGTACGTTAGGTGGAAATATTAAAATAAATCTTTACCTCTAACGCATGAGAATCTATTATACTTGACAGAGGTTTAGAAAAAATAGAAAGGTAAGCAGATTTTATACTGCTTTTGAAGTTGGTAAAATGCAAATTATGAAAAACTGAAGTCTAATTCTGTAAATGACAAGAAAAAGAAGAAAAAGCAAATAATTCACGGAATTCTGTACTTATTCATTTTAAATATTAAAGAATAATTTACCGATAATGTATTCCAGAATAACAACTATATATTTAATAATAGGCTGGAACCCGATTGAGCACGGTTGATCTTTTTCGTAATCCGATTGAACACGGTTGCAATCAAACAATGGGAATAAAAAAAAAAAACCCTAAAACCTTAAGATTGAGCACGAAAATGGGAGTGACGTTGCTACTTTGTACCGTAGAATATTTCAATGATTCACCATTTTTTCTAATCCCAATAAACCTATATTTGAAAGCTCCGAAATTAGCCAACTCTTTGCTTCTCTCGGATAAAATAATTTTTATTTCATCATTATATTCCATTTAAATTTGCAAAATACACGTTATTTAGGAATACAACACGAGGACAAGAGACATCAGAACAGATTGGCTATTATTTACAGCGTAGGAACATACAATAACAGTGCAATCGTTGTAGATAAAATTCTGTTTTCATATCTATCAAAGTTGTTTTAAACTACCGTTGTATCCATTAATCGATAACGAATTTTTTTTCGACTATAATTATATATATAATATTTTAATAACTAATAGTTAGTTAGTTTCCTATTAGTAATCTACAATACATACTAGTAAAAATCTGACAACGTATACAGTATTTTTTTTTTTTTTACCTAGCTCAATCAGGTTGTGAAAAAGGTCGGCCAATAACGACCTTGCTCAATCGGATATCACGGTAATAATAAAATGAAACAAAGAAAATTAAATTAATATATAAAGATTATAAATATTAAAATCAAATGAAGCAATGAATTAGGAAAATTAAAATGAGTTATTGCAAATACCATCGATATTATTCTTAAGACGTAGAATAGCCGAGAACTTAAAACTTATATCATTAATATAATTTTAAACAAAAACAAATGATATGTTTTTTTTTAGTGATACTCACTATAATTTAATTATAAACACTGTAAACTGACAAGTGTGTACAGTTGGAGACATATTTAATGTGAAACACAATGAATAATTGTACATTATCATGAATTACCCATCACGATTCAGTGCTACTCATACATGAATAGTATGAACATTCTCTATTGATGAAAAGGAAATATAATATTTAAAGAAGCGCTGATAGCTCATTGAGAAACGATAAGTGTAGGATCACAACGTTATAAGTATTAATTATATAACAATTAATATGTTGCAACTGAAGTCAATCAACAGTAATAAATTAATTTAATTTTTAATCATGATTTATCATTCCATAATTCAGGTAGCTACATATTTTATTTTAATTTAAAAATTATGAATAGTTATGTAATATTTTTTAATCAAGTTGATATTTTTTCATTTTTATATTTTTACATCGAACAATGATGACACTGATTTTCAATTAAAAAATCGATTGTTATTAATTCATTAAAATAAAAGTTTAATGCAATTATCACACTTTCGTCACTGTGACAGAATTGCATATACTCAACTATTTGACTATATAGGTAGACGATATTTTTTTTTCCAGAAAAAGCAGTTCAAATTTTATTGAAGTCTTTAATGGGGCTCTTGTCATTATTCTTACTGATTACTCAAACTGATTCGTTTAATCCGTTTTTCTCCCTCATTTGGCTTTAGTTCTATTGTCAAAGAGCCAAAGTGGGGCGGCGCGTTTAGTTTTCTACGTGTATTGACATATTTATTGCCGTTCCAGGGTGTTGATTGTAAAAGAGCTTTATCTTTAATTATACTAAGAAATTGTTCACTATTTAGGTACTTGTATCTCACCAACGCTCGAACATACGGAAATGACGCGAAAAAAGCTACATACTTAATAAGTCTCAGATATGTATTTATGTGAACAGAATAATAATTTATTCACGTGGACCCGAAGACATAAACCACGCGTGGCCCCGACATTTTATACTGAATTATTGTGTTAGTTTTAGTCGTTGAATTATAAAGGTTCATTTTCACTTCACCTAAAGTTTTGCATACGCATTATACATTATTTAGAAAGTAAATCATCTTAATATAATATCATATCTAAAACGGGTCCATAAAATGTTTAAAAAATTGTTCCGTTTCGATTGAAAAATTTCTTAGAGGTTACTGAACTAAAATTAAACCATTTACCTTTAAATGTCTGGTGTGGTCTACGTAAAATCGTTTGTCACTGCTGTAACTTCTCGTCCCTATAGTTAAAATAGTGTAGTCTATCCGTCTGATCCAAGACACCTGTAAACAAGTAATTAGTACATTACTGAAAATCATTTAAAAATTATAGGATTAAAAATTAACGTCGAAATTGAAACACATGGTATCTGTCATGATATATTTTTAATATTTGTCACACATACAAACATTACAAACATAACAAAAATACGATCTATGCATATTTTAAAACCGCAATTCGCATTGTTACATTTATTATTGCTTGTTTTTTTTTTTTCAGTTCCACGCGTGGAATTAAAACGTTATGTTATTTTAATTGTAATACTTTTTTTTTTTTTTTTTGTTATTTATCGACCATTAATTCCGCTTTTGTTCGTTATTGTTAAAATATCAGAAGAAAACCGAAAACCGTTTATTAACGAATATACATCAAACGTTCTAAACAATATGCGCGTACAAATACAATCATATTTCAGTTATCGGTACAACAAAAAGAAAAGAAAGCATCTAGACTTGTCTTTTGAAACAAATGCAGATAAAGTATAGACCGTCATTAACCATTTTCAATAAACTTTGGTATTTCAACATATTCTTGTTGTTTTCTCAAGATTTACCAGGAGAAAAAACGACGAATCGAATGGAATAATGTTTGTTTAGTCATAATTTTAAATATTCAGTCCAAGGAAATGTAAGTATTAAAATGAATCCAGATTAAAAAATCTCCAGGTTGAACGTACTCCGATGAATACATATGAAACCTCAACGTACATCTAAACGGGGACCGTTTCGACGTTATAATTTTTAACGTCCGGGGAGCGCGACTGTAATATTACGTACGATCATTAGGCCGACGGACCACCCGTCGATTTTTCTCGAAACCGTTCGTGTACGACTTTTGGCAAACGAACTCAATTTCAGGTCATCGTTTGCTGTTTTTTCGCCCATGTGTCGTGTTCGCGGACGTGTTTTCGGATGGTATGCAAATTGAACTACTAGTTACAAACACGCCCGGGTACGGAATTCATTAATGTACGCTCAGTGTACGCGTACGCGATAGAAATACACATTCGGACCACCACAACAGTAGTTTTCACTTCTGCTAAACGCATACCCTCGACACAACGGAACGCACTCGGTTGCCGTTCGTTTTCTTGCGCCGACCATCGGTTTTCGGTCGTCGACGTTGTCGCGGTCCATTATCGTTTCCGCCAACGACGATGTATTTTTCGTTTGCCTTCCGCTAGTCCTTTGCCTTTTCTCGTAGAAAAAGTTCGCGGCGACGATCGATGAAACTCACCCACAACAGTTAACGAAATCGGCGCAACATGATTTTATTCGTTTTTCCCTGCGACATTGGTGTACTACGAAACGGATAAACTTGACACTCTCTAGCTGAAAGAAAAAAATGTTGAACATTATCCGTAGGGATTCTCGTGGGACAAACAAGATACGATGTGAAATGTCGACACGTACCTGGTTCACGAATTCGTATTTCATTATTTTCATCGATTTCGCGACATTTGATTTGTACTTTAATATTTGTTACATTCACACGTATTAATACTTAGTAGCTACAACAGTCTAGTATGTAACCCTCTATTCCGTCCATATCAAAGATCATCTATTACGATACAATTTAAACACCGTAAAGTGTTGAGAAGGTGCCTAGATTTATTTCTTTATAAAAAGTTATGGTTATTGCTCAGTATTTGGTTATAAGACCAAATACTCATTGTCTGATGAAATCAATTTTCATTAATTTTCAATACATAATTAGCCTAAAATATTATGGAATGAACTAACTAATTCACCGTCAAAAAAAAAAAAAAAATAAAGCAATTGTTTTACGAATAGATGAAAAAGCATCGAGAAAAAATCAATTGAAAATCTGTTCGCTTCATTTTATCATTGATGATTTCGAATCTGGCATTATGTTGTATGCAATCTAATTATAAATTCATAACTAGGGACCGGATTTATATGCGAATACGTATGTGTATTGGAATAAGCTTTTTGAAACTGATGAGCATTATCCTCGATTTAGATCTTTCTTATTAAAATAACTTTTACTTTGCATATTTTGCATATTTCAACGTTTTTACCAATTAAATACATATTAAATTCATATTTGTAGTTTTATAGTGCATATTATTATTAATAGAACATATATTCGTATTCATCGTATTTTCACGTTCACAGCCGCATAATATCGATAAAATTGCGATCGGTCGTTATTTCCAAAGATAAGATTACATACTCATATCTTATATTATAGTCATATACAACATATACGAGTATATATCTAGATATAGATAAATAATATAGAGTGAGTATATTATATATAATAATATAATATTAAGTGACGACTTGATGACATAATATTTTAAAAACTTTTTATACTTTTTTTGATACCGTATTAATTAATACTTATTTTTACATTTATAATACATTTCAAATATTTGTACATTATTTTAAACAAAATTTTAAGTGAATGTTTAAGTACATATTTTATAGCATATTAGAAAATTTTTAGAAGCATATTTTGAGGATTTTTTGTGAATATAAATCCGGTCGCTATTCATAACAAATAAATAGGTAATTCATTATAGTGATTTTTAATCACTTTAAATAAGTAAAATAATATCTCTTAATAGTTGAATCGTGATTAAATTAACAAACAAAAAACCTATTTAAAATATACGAATAAATTAATTAATACGAATTTCAAATATTCGTCTTCTATTTTTCTTTCGTATTTTACATGCTATTTGAATTTGATACAGATAATAGATCCTGACTAGTTATGGTGGGGTATTACCACGTCATAGTACAACAGCGATCCTTGTGTTAATTTGTTTCCACAATAGTGTGGTACCGCGTACGGTACAACGCGGGTTGTGTAATTGGTACAAATCGAAACGTGTAAAATAATACACGACCACCGTGATATACTGGTCATTATTGGCCAATGTTTAGATACTTCGATGCTCATACAACAGAACGGTGTTCCACAAAAGCGTCATGATCGCAGCTCTTAGCTCGACCGTTTTGTCGCGATTGTCGATCGATTGCCTAACCGCAGGTATTCGAGGGTCAATTAGGGTTTAGATCGATTGTTGGAAAGACAGCGATTTCAAATGAAACTGAGCCAATGTGGTAGAACGCAATTGAAGTTAAAAGCTTTGGTTTAAGAAAGACAGAAAATATTTGACCGACATACGATTTCAGTTGTTCAGTAGAGTTCTTTCGTTTTGGGAATTATAATGACTATTTTGGAAATCAATTTTAGTTGTTAATACGAAATTAATGTACGTTTATTTCTCTCCCTGTTCACATGTCTTTTAAAAATACAACTCAGAATTAAGAGGTTAATTGGTAACGAGCAACTGTTTTTAAACGCATAGCAACAAGTTCAAACTTATTTCCCATCCAACCAACCAAACTATTTCAACGTGAGTTGTATCCAACTGAACCCCACCGTACAACACACACCCAGTTTCCGAAACCACATTGAAAAATTGATCAGAAAAATAATAGGCGTTCCGTAAAACGCAAGTGCTTTTATAAAAACATTGAAAAAAATTATTTTGAACTATCATAATCATAGGTTAGGGTTAGTGAGACAAATTAGTGTTCGAAGAATTCATTTCTAAAATATTATTTTATTTTAATATTATATAGTAGTCAATTAGGCACAGCATGAAATGCACATTAAAATATATTATTATTTATTTATTATTTCATACATAATAAATAACAACATGTAGTCAATAGTGTTTTGTCCTCACACAATATAAGAAAAATTGAAAAACTACCGCCAATTACGAAAAATTTGTACACAAAAAAGTATCACAAAAAAAATGTAAATATGCAATTGTAAATTATAATAATGGCCTATATTGCCAATGTTAAAAAAAATCATTAAATAATAATTGAATTAAATTCTGCTAAATTTAGTATTTTAGTATATTTTTAGTATATTGTTAATGTTTATATTGTTTATCGCCGTGTTTAATGTACCTTCTCCTTTTCAAGATAATTTTCATAGGGGTTCCGCATAAAATTATGTTATTGTTTGGTAATTCGTAATCTCAAAATTTTTAAGAAACCCTGATCTAAACATACACGATCGTTCAGAAATATTGAATAAAATCACTTCTGGACACATATATTTATGTATAATACGTATACATATGAAAGACAAAAATCATTCAGACGAACAATATCATATGATACCAACAGTGAAACGAAAACATCAAAGCTACTGTAAAAATGGCAACAGAAAGAAGAAGATTTTTATTTTTATTAGAATTCCAGAACAAAGAGATATAATATGTAGAAAAACTGGATATTTTAGAAAATAAAAGAACGATGAGAAAGTGATGATCAATAAAAGATAGAATTTTAAATCGCACCCGTGAAAAAGTTGTTAGCATTACAAATGGTGAACGTTTTAGTATATTATTTCGCCGACAACTTTATTCATACCTTTTATAACATACGTTTTACCGTTTATTAATTGCATCCGAAGGCAGATTATAGCTATACAATTATCGTCTGTTCATTTGCAATTATATTAATACATATTTACCTCTGAAAGCAGTCGAATCGTACAGTGAAACGTATATGCAATACGCATACCGAATTCATAAACATATAACGCGTGTTAATCGGTGTGACACCGGTGGAATATATTATTTCATTTATTAGCCGCTGCATAAAACTTCCGTAAACCATAGTATAATATGTTTTATTGTTTGTCCGGCAGAAACACAGCGGCGGCGATTGTCTGGATAATTTTAGCGCCAAAACTAACAGAAAGATACAGCAAATGAGTTGTAACTACACAACGAATCGACCAATGTGATTATATCTGCCCGTTCTGCCCGATCTGCCCGTTTCGCGCTGATCCACTAGAGCACTCGACATGTCGGTGTGAAATAGTCGCAATATATCGTAGACACTGGAATGGTTCGAATTTCCGAACTGCGCATAAAATCGTACGTCAACGGTCGAATTTGATAGTCGCACAACAGTAGCGAATTCGTCATCTTCCAGCCTTG